TCCCCAAACCTAGCTACAAGGTGAGCTCACTTGTATGGAGGTAAAGGGTTATTAATATAGTCATGAGCCGTTTAACTACAGGGATACGTTCTGAGAAATGCATTGTTAGGCAGTTTCATCATTATGCGAACATTATACTACTTACACTACCCTAGATGGTATAGGCTACTACACACCGTGGCTATATGGGATAGCCTATTGCTCATAGGCTACAAACCTGAATAGCATGTTACCATACTGAATATTGTAGGCAGTTGTAACAGAGTGGTATTCGTGTATCTAAATATATCTAAACATAGAAGAGGTACAGTAAAAATACAGTATAAAAGATAAAAAATGGTACACCTAATCAGGCACTTACCATGAATGGAGCTTGCAGGACGAGAAGTTGCTCTAGGTGCATCAGTAAGTGGTGAGTGAGTGTAACATTATTGTACACTACTGTAGATTTAATAAACACTGTACACTTAAGGTACACTTACAAACATTTCTGGGACCTTCTTTATGGAGAATCTGATTTTTTTGCATAGAAATGAAGTGATTTTCTAATGTAAACTGTGTAACTTCTCAACCTCTGGGAAAATCCTAGGAGACCCAGACTAATGTTGGGGCTAAAAATGTTTCTTTTTCTTTCTGTTCTTGTCTCACCCCTACTTATTCTGTACCTTGTTGTTTCGAAGGACTAGAAAAATCATCAATACTTGTAGTTTTATCTCCTTTATTCCCATGAGTTATGGAGGTGTTGATGGTGGTGGTAAAAGTCTCTGATGAAATCCCCATCACTGGATAGACCTTACATTGGAAGATCCCTGGTAAAAAGGCTATAAAATAAGAAAGAAATAATGAAAGGACAACTGAGAAAACTTTATCCTGCCTTTGATTTTATCTGACAAAACCCTAGTTCTACCCAGCTAATATTAAACTACTTTTATCTGTATGTATATATATTAAATGTATATGTATATATTATGTATATATGTATATGTATTAAATATGTGTATGTATGTTTTATGTGTATATATATATTAAACTTCTAAGTGTGGTCTCATTGATCTGTCCATAAATTTAGGGTGTGGGCACCAAATAATGCCAAGAGTAAATGAGGATAGAGATACTAGTAAGAGGTATGAATTAAATCCCCATGAGGCCTTTGTAAGACTAATGTAAGATCATAGTGGAGGAGTAGACCATATCTTGTTTGCCTATCATTCTTAAAGCCATAATAATAAAAGGATGGAGGGTGTAACACTGTTCAAAGTTTCCTTCTTTAAAAAAAGTGGCTCCAAAGTCCAAGGAAAAACATGAAATATAATTTGCCTTAATAACTACTACAATTCTGTCTAGTAGAGTCTAAGTCAACTACTCTTGAGAGGGGATTGGCGAAAGCAGAGGGAGGCAGAAGAAGAAGGAAAGACCACTTGACTTCATGCACTCCTCAGTTTCATTTACCAAATTATTAAAAATGAATATTATGTGCCAGGGACTGCTTCAGTACTTTGGACATATCAGATTCATTCAAGCAAGAGAACAAGTAGAAGGGAGGTGGGGGTGAGGAGGAAGCAGACAACAATAAGTATAGTTTTTATGATATGTTAGAAGGAGATAAGTACTACCAAAAAAAATTAAAAATAGAGCAAGGTAAGGGAGCAGTCTGGGGGTGCGGGTGGGCAGTGGTTTGGCAACCTGCGGTATAGTCAGGTTTCATTGAGAAGGTGAGAACTGAGCCAAGACTTAAAGGAGATGAGGTTAGCCAAGTAGATGCCTGGGAAAGTACAGTAAATCCTCAATAATGTCATCAATAGGTTCTTGGAAACTGCAACTTTAAAATGTAATGACATATAACAAAAACAATTTTACTGTAGGCTAATTGATATAAACAAGAGTTAAGTTCCTACAGCATATGTCATCAAAACATCACCAAACTTCTAAAGTTCCAAAACATTTTTAATGTTAAGCATTGAAATAAATGTCAGATATGCATACGTTTAATAAAGATTAATAAAAACAAGTAAGATAATTCTTTTCCAACCCTCTTATGCCAGTTCAGGGTGGCCACAGCCTATCCCAACTGCCTAGGATGGAAGACAGAAACCAAACCTGGACAGGATGCCCTTTCATCACAGGACACACTCACACCCACACCCACACTCACTCAGGCTGGGACCATGTAGACATGCCAGTTTATCTCACATGCACACCTTTGGGCTGTGAGAGGAAACCAGAGTATTGAAGAAAACCCATGTAGATGGTGGCCCCCAGCTGGAAATCCACTTTTTTTCCTCATCAACATTATAGTGAAATGATGTTAAATGAAATGACATTATTGGAGGACCTGCTATAGTGACCTATGCAGAGGGGAGAGCTAAGGTAAAGGCCCCGAGGTAGAGTATGTCTAGCATGTTCCAGTTTTAGAAGAAGAGCAAGGTGGCCAGTGAGACTGGAGCGGAATGAGCAAGGGGACAGTAGTAGTAGGAGATGAAGATCTAAAGGAAATGGGTCCATATTGCTGAGGGCCTTGTAGGATAGTTTAAGGATTTTGATTTTTATTCTGATTGAAATGGGGATCCATTGCAAGGTTTTGAGCAGAGGAGTGACAGGATGATTTTATTTTTAAAGGATCACTGAAATAGACTGTAAGGGTGCAAGGATAGAAACAGAGCCACCTGTTAGGAGGCTATTGTAGAAATCCAAATGAGAAATGATAGTGACTTAGAACAGCTACGGAAGTGATGAGGTGCAGATGAATTCTGGCTGTAGTCTGGCACTAACTTCGCTTGCCTCCAGAGTTGACCTAATCCAGTTCAGACAGTGGTTTCTATTCCATTTTTCATGATCTCCTATCATTGCTTATTAAATTAAGGCCTGTAAGTTCTACTTGACTTATCTAAATTATTCTATGTCCTGATTAAGTCCACGTGAAAATGATAGTTCCTTACTTCTGAAGGCCCGTGGCCACAGTACTAAGACACTGTACATGAAATTACAGGGTAAGGAGTAGTCTTTGATTTCAGTTTGATCAGGAAGATGATGTTGGAAAGGTAGGCAGAGACAAAGAGCCACAGGTTCAAAAGAAAAAAAAAATTATGTGAAGTATTTTCAGCATAGTGCCAATCAGTTCTCTGAAGTGATAATGTGTTTATGAGACAGCTGAGATAAACAAGTCTCACTTTGGACAAGTCATATAAGTTCTCTGAGTTTTGGTTTCCTTATCTGTAAGATGATTATAATAAAATAATTCTTAGTCTGCCTATTTCACAAGGATAATGTGAAGATGAGAAACAAAAAGAGAAAACAGGTGTGAAAACACTCTGCATGTGATATGATAGAAAGAAGAAGAAAAACCTAAAGATCTTCCAAGTAGAACTGTGCTTTCTAGTCACAGGGATAATGATATTTCACTGTGGCATGTCTTCCTACCTCCTGGGGGCCAGTGTTTCAAAGTGTACTTAATAGGCTTCATTTGTCAGTGTATTTCCATTTCTGCCTAGCTTCTAAATTAATGTCCATTCATGTTGGCAGCTCATCACTTTTAGGTCTCATCAGCTGGGGAACTGAGTATCAAGGTAGAGCAATTTCAGATTCCTACTTTGCTCTGGGGACTTTTCCATAAACTGTCTTCTGTTTCTGGGACATCCTCCTGTGCAGACTGATGTCACCTATAGTAGGCATCTCTTTTATGACCTTGGAAATTTGACCATTTACCTAATTTTTATTTCTACCCTACTTGGAGTCTGTCACCTCCTGGTACTCAATGTTAAATTCAGAATAGGCAGTTTCAAACTTATCAATGGGGCAATATTTCAGAACCCCATTCATAAGTGGGTTGTTTGTAATTTATTGTTCTGTAGAAATGTGTCCTGACTGATGATTAGGTCCCCAAACTAACCCACAAACATCCATTTAATCTCTTTGTATGGGTCAAATAGTACAGGTTATCAGCTTAAACTCTTCCTCCTTCTCTGGATTCCCTGCAGTAAATTCAGCCCAAGGCAAATTGTTGAATTAGGTCAGGTTGATTGTTGGCATCTCTCCTCCCCCTTAATCTCACAGTTTTCCTCGTCCCAAATTTCTAAGAGCTTGTGTCCTTAATTGCTCTGAGTCTAACATTGCATAGCACTATATCCAAGAAAGACTCACCCTGTGTAAAGTGCTTTAGACTCCAAAATGACTTAAGTTCACTATTACCCATCACTCCTACCATTGGCTGAAGGGGTGTGTCACAAGTTAGGAGGGAAACAGTCTGGTTGAATTAATTTACATTAATATTGAGTGAAAGCCCCTACACACTGACAAAAGATTTTAAGTTTTTAAGAGTATTTTTTTCATACAAAAATTATTATCATATGAACTTTAGAAAGTATAATAAAGGAATGGAAACATTCATGTCATCTGAGGATATATAATTTACAGCCCAAGAACTTATCTACTTATTTCTCAATCTCTAGTCTTCTAAACAAACTGTAGTTTTAGAAGTTTTTTTCCCCCATTATTCTGCTTGTGAACCCCCCGTTTCTCTGAATGTGTCAAGTTTTATTTTTCTAGCAGTGCAGCAATGGCATCTAGGAGATTGCCTATATGTAAAGGGGAACTGCTAATACCAATTTATTGATCACAAACCACTTGACAGAAAGAATGGGTGGGAAAAGGAAAGTAGGGCAGAAACAGAAATTTAAGGCTAAGGTTAAAAACCATGGTTCATCAACTATCTGGGAGCATGCGTTCTCACAGAGTGTGGTTGGGATTGCAATGGAACAACCACTGTGGAGGGTAATTTAGCAATATCTATCCTATGGATAAATTGCAGATACACAAAAAAGAATGTATAAGATTATTCTTGCAGCATTGTTTGTCTTTGCAAAAGATTGGAAGCAACCAAAATATCCAACAGAGAACTGGTAGAACAAATTATAGTACAGCCATAAAATGCAATACTGTACTGCTGTTAAAGAAAATGAGACAAATTTATACATGTTAATATGGAACAGCCTATAAGATACAATGTTAAGTGGAAAAAAGCAAGGTACAGAACAATGTATATGGTATGCTACCATTTATGTTTTTAAAACATATGCTCAGAATATCTCTAGAAGGAAATTCAGTACGTTCCTAATAGTGGTTCCCTCAAGGAGAGAGAATTGGAGGATTGAGAGATTGGAGTAGGAGGGAGATTTAATTTTCACTGATCAGTGCTGTTTGAATATTTTACTATGTACATTCAAAGTAAATCAAATTCAAATAGCCATTGTCAAAAGGAGACCCGTCAGAAATGGAGATCATGTGAAAATTGCAGCATGTCAGGGCCCATGATGGGCCCTTGGATATTAGAAAACTGAGTCTCAGAGAGGACAGAGATTTGCCCAAGGAAAGGATAATCCATTTCTTTGAGGCTTTAGCTGCTACTAAGTTCTACCTACATTCAGGGATGTCAGATGAAAGTCATGCATAATTCCATCTCATTTGACAGTCTCACCTTTGCCTATTAGAAGGAATCCAGTCTGAAACTTAGATGTGGGGATTAGGTGACAGTTTGGGGAGGCAGTGCTGTTTCTGTGGGGAGCAGTAATGACTCTCAAGTTCTTCAGAGTATGCTTGACCTTTGGGCTTTTCTCTGAATATACAAGGTTGACTTTCACTTTGCTCCCAGAGCCAAGGCACTGCAGGGTAGCCACAGTCAGATTTTGGATGAATGTGGACCTTTTGGCTTCTGCCTGAGCTTCTGGAAAGAGAAAAGCCAGAGAGAATAAAGGATGCTGGTTCTTAATCTGAATGGCTAAACCACTTCCATTCATGACCCCTGTTAAACTCTACTGCTGTACTTTCTTTTTAGTTCTTCCTCAGCATGTGTTTATGGTACTAAATACACAAGCCCTGCCTTTCTTCATGCCTGCTGCGGGTCCCACAAACATAGGTGACTTTAGTAAATTCAGCCCAGAGAAATACTCATAGATCGTTTTCTGTAATGTAGACAGGGTTGAGTGCTGCCTCCTTCTCATTCTTTATCCCCATCTTTTTTATTTATATAGTCACACCTTAGGTAATAACAGTTAAGTGTAAAAAACTGGTTTCCAGAAAGCATCTTGGGGGCAATACATATATTTAAAATAGGGTATTTGAGATATGGGCTAGGAATGGGGGAGACAAGAATCTTTTAAAAGTAAAATTTTTCTGGAATGGCAAAGAGGGCCCATTTCCTACCTGGCATTAGCACATCCCTAATGCTTCTCACACCCTTTGGGAAGAGCCCAGGCAGCTGTTCCACTTGGCAGCTGCTATCTCTTAGTTCTGGAAGGAAAAAAAAGACTTACTAGGTGTTTGCTTTTTAGAATTCCAGGCACTGGAGAGGGAGATACAAAAGAATGCAGTTTCTTCTCATAAAAATTACAATTAGGAAGATAAAAACTCCCCTTGAAAGATTTTAAAATATATAAAAGTGAGAGTTAGACTAGTATAAAGAAAACTGAGTACCAATCTGTTATCCTTAGGGGAAAAAAAGAGCGAAATAGAATTAAATGAAGTTAGTGAAAGACTAACCAATCCATCCCTTCAAGCACTGCTTATCATCTTCTACTTCCTGTTCTATCTACCTTCTTGTTTTAAAACTTTCAAAAGTTTATTAAATGTAACCTCGGAGAAGGTATCTCTCCAGGTTTTCATAAAACCATAGGTCATAGTTATTTATGCATTTTGGCACATAACACACAGGATGTCGTGAATTTTCTTCATTTGTTAAATTTGTTACTACTGCACCTTATGCTGTTTGGCCTTAACTCTGATGAACGAATTTTAGAGATGAAATGTTTAGGAGCCTTTGAAAAATTGTATTTTACATAAACAGTTATCTAAGAGTAGAAAATAGTGCCATTTCACCCCACACCACCCTTTTCCTTAACTCTCTCCACCCAAGAGCATCCCCTTGTATTTGTATGTAACACCTTAAACAGGGAAGACAACATCTTATGAGAGGCTATGAAATTGAGGGCTTAGGTGATGATAATTCCAAAATTGTGACAGCTCTGTCCAGGAAAGAAAGCCATCTGATAGTGAAAGGACTTTTAATGTTAGTTACATGAACAAGGCAAAAGGATGTATCACATTCTTTGAAGACTTCTCACTGTGAAACAGACAGCTACCTCTCTGGGTAGAATCAGTTTTAGTCCTAGAGGCAAGAGGATACGTTGGATGACTGGCAAGCATCGCCTACTGAGTATTGGCTGTATCTCTAATCTGCTGGAATAGACCCCCAAACACATTGTAGGACTCTCTTTGAATTTTCCAAGATATTAGACTAGAGAAGTACTTACCTTTCTTGTTATCATAGGATGTAATGATTAAGCTGAAAACCAAGATGGTATCCATGTCAGCTTGAGTACATGCTCCTTGTAGAGATAGGGTGCTGCTAATCTGTCACAGTCCCTTGTAGCTTTGTCTTTAGGTGTTTTCACAGCCCTGGAACCAAGTTTGGCTGTGGGAAAGTCTGGTTCCACCCTAATTATTTTGCCCCATTTCCTGAAGACCCAGGAATAGAGTTGATTGGAGAGAGGACCAAGTCTGCTTGTTAATAATTGACTCAGAAGGTCTTTCCTGACTTCACTGCTGGTGCCAATATAAAGAACTGTAATTACCTAGAGGTTTCCCTAGGAGAAAGGGCATAAACGGCCAGTGATATGCTTTACAAATACTTGCAGGTAGACACGTAGACAATCACAAGCATGCTCTCTGACACAGGCACATAGATTTATACACCAACATAAAAAGATAGAGATTTCTATTAAGGAAAGTGATTTCTAGAATAAAGCAGGAAATTGGAAAAGGATGAGTCATTGATTTACACTGAACTAGGAGTCAATAGATCTGGGTTCTAATATAGGCCATTGTTAACTATATCATCTTGATAAAATTGCTTGACTTCTCTATACCTCAATTTTTTCTTCTGTAAATGTTTCAACTGAATGATCTCTAGAATTCATTCACAGTTACACACATAAATTTACATCAGTACTGACATACCTATTTAGTTTTGTACATTTTTCCACTCCTGAGTATTAAAGTGAGTATAGTTAGACCACATTCCCATAAATTGGGCTGAGAAGTTGTGAGGAAGAACTAAATACATAGATGAGTGATACTGTCTGCATTTTGGGAAGATTTTCCTAGACAGATAATTGTTTTTAAAGGTTTTTCAAAAATCATATATTTTAGTAAAGAGTATAAATCTAGTGTAAGATTCTGTAGACTTTGTGATAGCATAGCTAGGTGAACCATAAAGCAGAAATGAAGATCTACTCAGATCTTCTGTAGTCTTTCTACCTACTGTAAATGTACTCTATTGGGGCCAGGATAGGTTTGGCTATGTGAAAGAAGATTCTAGAGGCAGACACTCTGATAATGATGTAAAGGGAGCTTGATTCAAGGGACTTTCCATGAAGGAGTTCATGATCTCTGATCAAATCATTATTTAAATGTTACCATGTTGCTTGACATTTTAATTCAGGTTGAAATCTGGGGAAATCGAGCATCAGTGGAAATATTAGTGGGAAAACAAAAAGGAAAGAGATGTCAGCAAAGGACAACGTGTTGCCTGAAATGTGAAAGAGGAGAGGAAGTACTGAACATCCAGCCATAATGCCTTTCATTCTTTTATTCAGTGAATATTTATTGTCGGCCTACTGTGTGTCAGACACTATTCTAGCAGAGAGCAAGACCAAGTCTATGTTCATATGAAAAGATGGGAAGCAGTCAATAAACATGCAAAGGACTAATAATAAACAACATACAGATACATATGCAAGATAGTTAAAGATTGTAATTATTGTGGAGAAGCAACAAACAGGTGATGAGGTAAAGGATCATTGGCAGAGGCTACTTTAAGTAGGGTGGTCAGAGAAGACTTCTCTCAACTAAGAAAACCAAGAGCATGGATGTCATAGAAGCCAAGAGAGTATTTCAAGGAAGGAATGATCAGTTGGTCAAATGCTGAGAAGTGTGTGTAATGAGGACAGAATGTCCACTGCGCTTGACAATCTTGTAAGAGCAGTTCCAGTAGAGAGGTAGAAGTAGGAGAAGGCCGAGAGGAAATTGGAGGTGAAGACATGTGGATAATCTTTTCAAGATATTTTGCTAAGTAAGGGAGCAGAGAAGAGAGGCCAACTGAGTAGAGGGAACATAAGTACCTCAAGTCTTTCTTGGTCCAGAGCAGTACTATCTTGTTCCTTTTTCCCTGCTACAGTTGCCTGATTCTCTTGGCAGGGCAGGTGGGTAGGGCACATGGTTTCTGCTTACTATTACCTTAAAATGATTACATGATTCTCTGCTTCTTTATGGTATAAAACACTTCCCCACTGCCACTTTATTTAAGAATTTTGGTATTTTAGTTCCTAGATGCCATGTTATAATGTTGCCACATTGGAGCAGAGGTAGGAAAGGATCTGAAGGCTCGTTCGCTGTTCTCATTCTACATCACAAGGTGGCAGAAGAGTTCACTCTTCCCAAAGAGACCTTGTGTTTAGACAAAGATAAAGTGGAGGTGTTTTCTTTCATTACCTCTCAGACCCTTTTATTTTTCTTTGCATTTCAAAGGCCCAAAAGTCAGCCTCCATGTTGGAGCAGCCTTACTGTGGGGTACAAAGAAGTGGGAGAGCTACATTAATGAGTCAAAATAAGTAACAGTAGAGAAATAGACCTAGAACTGTTTCTCTACTACTATATATTTGGTTTCTAAGTGGAGGAAAGGATCTCTTTCCTGATCTCCTTTTCCCACAACAAAAATTCCAATTTAGAAGGAAAAGAACTATAACGTGCGTAAATCTTATGGTGTGTGCAGATGAGAGATATGACTGTGGAAGAATCAGAGAAAACTAGGACTGACTGAATGATCAGGGTAGATCTGTGGGAAGAGCACTTGACAAGAAGACAGGAGGCTCACCTAGGTTCTAGATTAGACTGAATCACTTTGAGTAAGTTACTTAAGTTCTCTGGTCTCTGTTTCGGTTTCTTTAATGAGATGGTTAGACAAGATGGTTTCGAAGACTTCTTCCAGCTCTAAAATTATTTTAATACCACACTCTGCTACTCTTTATTTTAAGGGCATATGCTTTTTATTTGTTTGCTTGGGTTTATTTTAAATTTTTTTTTTATTGTGGAGTATAGCATATACATAGGAGAGTATATAGAATATAGTATATGTTAAATAATAAGAACCAATGATAATAATAACATGAACACCACATAACCCTCACCCAAAATAAGAAATTGAACATTGCCAGTATCTTAGAAGCTCTTTGTATGTCTGTTCTTCTGATCACATTCCTTTTCCTCCTCCCAATCATTATTTTCTCATACTTTTTTAAAATTGTGAACTATATATTACTAAAAATATTTTTTTAGTTTTGCCTGCTTTTGAATTTATATAAATGAATGAATTATACTCTATGTAGTATTTATATTTTAAATTGATTTTTCAATTACAGTTGATATGCAATATTATATTAGTATCACATGTATAACATATTGATTAGACATTTCTATACCTTATGAAGTAATCACCCCGATAAGTCTAGTGCCCATCTCACACCATACATAATTATTACAATATTATTGACTATATTCTCTGTTCTGTACTTTACATCCCCATGACTATTTTTGTAACTGGCAATTTATATTTCTTAATCCCTTTCACTCTTTTTACCCAATCCCCCCAATACCCTTCTATCTCGCATTCATCAGTTTATTCTCTTTATCTATGAGTTTGTTTCTGTTTTGTTTGTTCATTTGTTTTTTAGATTACACATATAAATGAAATCATACGTTATTTGTCTTTGTCTGAATTATTTCACTTAGCATAATACCCTCTAGGTCCATCTATGTTGTCACAAGTGGCAAGATTTTATTCTTTTTTCTGGCTTGTGTATGTATACCACATCTTCTCCATTTTTCTATTGCTGGACACCGAGATTGCTTCAATATCTTGGCTATTATAAATAATGCTGCAGTGAACATAGAGTGCATATATCTTTTTGAATTAGTGTTTTCAGTTCCTTCAGATAAATAACTAGAAGTTGAATTGTTGGGCCATATGGTAGTTCTATTTTTTAATTTTTTGAGGAGCTGCCATAGATAATGGCTGCACCAATTTACAATCCCACCAACAGTGTACGAGGGTTCCCTTTTCTCCACATCCTCACCAATACTTGCTTGTTGATTTATTAATGATAGTCATTCTGATGAGTGTGAGGTGATATCTCATTGTGGTTTTAATTTGCATTTCTTTGATGATTAGTGATGTTGAACATCTTTTCAGACCCTATGTATTTTATTTTATTTTATTGGAAAAAATGAAGTTTATTGATTTTTAAACTGTAAATAGTCATTACAAAGAGTTTTTTTAAAAACAACTTTGCACAAAGAAAACTAGAAAGCAATGGTAGTGACCAGCAAGAGGGATAATTATTACATTCATCTTAATGTATGTCTGTCAGTTCTGTTTGCATTAACAATGGAAAACTCTAAATCTGGGATCTGGAATCTCAAATCTGCCATCAGAATGTCTTGAGATGGGCACAGGGAGGTCAAAGGGTTTCTCCCCCATCCCCCTTTAGAAGCTATATATATAAAAAGTTGTTTTCCTCCTGTACTGTCACAGAACTTCTATATACATTCTCAGTTCTAGTTGGGAAAGGCCTAAAGAGAAAGAAACTCAATTTTCGGTCCAACCAAAGGGGAAAAATTTCTAAAATAAATAGTCCAACAGTTTCTTTGCATTTTTTAAAATAAATTTTTCATTTTTAAAATAAAATAACTAAATAAGTGTAAAGTTACAAAAATAATTTTACAATGTAAAATTACACAGAAGAATAATATATTAGAACTGGAAAACAGGAAAGGACACATCGCAAAATATTAAGATGTATATGAAGATCATTATTTGACATTAAAGAATATATTCTATGGATTTATCATCTTGATAAATATAAACAAAATTAACAAAAAACATAAAAGCATAGTTTGGCAATAAATATGTTTTGACAAATTAAATGAGCTTTTTTATATTGATGTGCAGTGACAAGCAAAACTTGCTCTCCAATTTCTGAAAGTTAAATGAAGTTTAAAACCCAGGAGAGAAAGCATGACATGAGTGTTTTTAGGAGAGACCTATGGTATTCTAGAGCAAAAACCATTAAAGCTACTTCAATGGGAAATCGTTTTACACAGATACTGTATGTGGAATGAATACCAATGAACTATCACTCCTTACATGTTTCTTTTCTTTTTAGCTTTTTTTCCTTTCTTTTTTTTTAGATGTCTCATATGAACTAGGGAACTTTAGCCCCAAAATCAAGCCTCTCATAGTCCATCTAGCT